ACAGTTCCAATGATAATAATAATAATAAGTGGCATTTATTGAGTATTCTGTGCCATGCACTGTGCTAACATGCTAAATAGATAATCTTATTTTAATCCTCACAACAGTTCTATGAGGTAGGGATTTTTTTTTTTTTTTTTGAGACAGTGTCTCGCTCTGTCACCAGGGCTAGAGTACAATAGCATCATCATAGCTCACTGCAGCCTCAAACTCCTGGCCTCAAGCGATCCTCCTGCCTCAGCCTCCTGAATAGCTGGGACTACAGGTGCGTACCACCATGCCCACCTAATTTTTCTATTTTTGTGGAGATGGGGTCTCGCTCTTGCTCAGGTTGCTTTTGAACTCCTGAGCTCAAGCAATCCTCCTGCCTCAGCCTCCCAGAGTGCTAGGATTACCGCCATGAGCAACCATGCCCGGCCAGGCAGAGATTATTAACTTCATTTTACAGGAAAAGAACCTGATCCTTGGAGAGTTTGAGTAATTGGTTTAAGGTGACACAGCTACCAAGCATGAAATCAGGATTTTCACGCGGGCAGCCTGGCTTCAGAGCTACATTCTTAACCTCTAGGGCATTCTCTTCAGAATCTTAAAATTAATATTTCTTCTCATTCAAACCATAGTTTCCAGAAGTGCCACTTTCTAGAAGCAACACCTCTTATATTCCCTTGGGTCCCTGAATGATTTTTCTCCCTCTGCATTAGACTTTTCGTGAGTCATAGGTAAGTTCCTCTCTGGTGGTTCCCATGGTTTCCATAATCACAATGTGTGGCTGACAGGCTGTGGTCAGAGGGATACAATAGCACAGTGCTTTGACCCGATGACGATGATGACGATATTAACTTGCAGTGAGGCCCTCCTATTTGCAGGCATGCATTATGTCATTTAATCATCACAACAGTCCTCTGGGATAGGTGGTGCCATTAGAATTTTAAAGACAAAAAAAGCGAAGCTTAGAGAGATTAAGCAACACATCACACAAGGTCACACAGCTGGCAGGTGGCAGAGTCAGGGCTCAAACTCAGATCGTCTGAATTTCAAAGCCCATATTTTGGAACACCATGAGATTCTGATGAGCTCAGCGTCAGGTACGTTTGGAAATGTCAACATGCTGGAAAAAGTACCAAATTACCAAGATGATATTGCATTATTTTCCCCTTCAATCAACCAAAATGACAGTTCTTGCATTGGCCCCTGCTGTCCTGGCTCTTTGTAATCACCCAGCATCCCTCCGAGTTTTTGGCATTCCCAGCAGAGCTGAGGCACCAAGCCAGGACAAGGAGCCAGGGCTGGGGAACCATTTAATAATTCCATGCAGATGGTTACTTCAGCCAGTTATTGAACTTGAAGCATTATCACCCTAAACTAATGCAAACAGACAGGGTTCCAGGCACTGCGGTGGCGGAGATAGTTTTGTCCTCTAGGATTACAAGAAGTGTATTACTCACACATTTTTAGAAACCGAATTTATTCTTTTATAAATCATGAAACATGAGCTCACGATAGATGGCTGAAAAATTCAGAAAATTAAAAAGGAAAAGATCTCGCCCAAATCTTCACTCTAGAAACAAACACTGTTAATATTTTTGTGCAGCTAGCCATAGTCATTTTATTTTCCATGCATTAAAAACATTGTTGATTTTTTTCTGATTATAAAAAATAATACATATACCTTGCAGGACCATTGGAGAATAGAAACAAAACATTTATTATCATGACATCCATAGGCAGTCACTAACATTTTGGTGTATGTCATTTCAGTGTTTATGTGAATATGTGTACATAGGGGTATATATATGTGAACACATCAAATTTGAATCACAGTATTTTTAATTGAATTCCTATCATTATCATTCCATGACATAATTAATATGATCAAGATCACATTGTAGGGCCTGTAATTCCAGCTACTTGGGAGGCTGAGGTGTGAAGGATAGCTTGAGCCCAGGAGTTGGAAGCCAGCCTGGGCAATGTATGGAGACCCCATCTCAAAAACAAACAAACAAACAAACAAACAAACAAAAAAAGGAAGTATAAGGGTGAAATGTTTATTTCAGTTTTCCATATAGTTAGGCAAATATCTCAGCACCATTTATTGAGTAGTCCATTCTTTCTGTACTGATTTGTAATACTTTCTCTGTCATAGATCAAATTTGCGAATATGTTTCTGTCTATTGTGGGGGTCTCAATCTTCTTCTTATGTCTTAAGGCTTTACAATAGGTTTTGATATCTGGTAGTTAAGATCTCGCTACCTTGTTAGTATTCTTCAACACTGTCTTACCTACTCCTGGCCCTTTGTTCTTCCATGTAATTTTTGAATCAGCTTGTCAATGTTTATTTTATAATCCTATTCCCTACTGAGATTTAAACTGGATTATCATGAAAGAGAATTTTCACCTTTATGATACTGATTCTTTTTACCCTTGAACATGGCATATTCATTTTTTTCAGTTCTTTTTTTTATGTTGCTTAATAATGAAACACAAATCTAGTTAACTAATTAATTCATTGTCTCAGGTGACATAAAATAATACTTTTCTCCTCAAAGTTTTTTTTTTGGCTATTATGATCATATTTTAAGTTTGATTAATGTCCTATAGAAATACTACTATTCTTGTATGTTTATCTTGTTTCCAAAATCTTGCTGTTATTCATTTTAATAGGTTAGCTGTGGACTTGCTTGCATTTTTATGTAGGTGATTACATTGTCTGAAAATAAAGTTTTGTTTCTTCCGTTTCAATTCTTATATTTCATTAATTTTTCTTATCTATTAAATAACTAGGCTAGGACTTCTCAGAAGTAGAGATCATAGGCATCCTTGTTTTGTTCTTGATTTTAGTGTGGATGCCACTAGAAGTTCAACTGTAAATGTGATATTTGCTGTAGATTTTTGATAGTCACTCTCTAGAAGGTTAAGGAAATACCCTTCTATTTTTAGTTTGCTAAGAAAAACAATATAGGTATGATGACTGCTAATTTTTTTCAAATGCTTTTTCTGTTTTCATTGAGATATTCAAGTAGTTTTCTCCTTTAATCTGCTAATTTGATATACTATATCAATGAATTTTCTGATATTGGGCCACGTTCCATTTTGGAAATATATCCTATTTGTTCATGATGTATTTTTATTTAGAATTTTTGCACTTGTGTTCATAGGTGAGATCATTCTAAAATGTTTTTATTGTACAATTTTTATGTAGTTTTGGTATCAAGATCACACAATACTCATGAAATAAGCTCTAAAAACATGTTTATAAAATAAGGATTGTCTGTTATTTGGTAAAATTCACCTATAAAACTCTCTGGGCCTGTTGTCTTTGTGGGACTGGGAGGGAAATAAAATACTATATTAAAAATTAAAGTTTTATAATAGTTATTGACTTGCTTTTTTATTTTTTTAAATACATTTTGATAGTTTTTAAGAGAACATTATCCATTTTGATTAAATTTTCAAAATCTTATTGTATTATGTCTCTCTTTTCATTCTTTTTTTTTTTTTTTTCCGAGACATAGTCTGACTCTTTTGCCCCAGCTAGAGTGCCATGGCGTCAGCCTAGCTCACAGCAACCTCAAACTCTTGGGTCAAACAATCCTCCTGCCTCAGCCTCCCAAGTAGCTGGGACTACAGGCACGCGCCACCATGCCTGGCTAATTTTTTCTATATATTTTTAGTTGTCCAATTAATTTCTTTCTATTTTTAGTAGAGACCGGGTCTCGCTCTTGCTCAGGCTGGTTTCCAACTCCTGAGCTCAAACAATCCGCCCGCCTCAGCCTCCCAGAGTGCTAGGATTATAGGCGTGAGCCACTGCGCCCGGCCTCATTCTTAATATTACTCCTCACGAGTGCTGATTTTGATGAATCTTGAAAAGTTCGCCTTTTTACTTTTTCCCCCCAAGGAATCAGTTTTTGGTTTTGTTGATCCTCTCTATTGTTTCCCGGTTTTCTATTTCTTTTTCTTTCTTTTTTCTTTTTTTTTTTTGAGACAGGGTCTTGCCACCCAGGCTGGAGTGCAGAGAAGAGATGTGACCACAGTTCACTGCAGCTTCCAACTCCTGGGCTCAAGTGATCCTCCTGCCTCAGCCTCCTGAGTGGCTGGGACTACAGGCACACGAGATGACATTTCAAAACAACAAACTACAAAGAAACCACCCATGTTCTATAGAGACTTTTTTTCCCTGCCTGATAGGAAGCACCTTAACTGCGCAGTCTAGAAAGTCAGTATAATAAAGAGGCTAAATGTCGATTCAAATTGCCTGGATTCAAGTGCTGGTCAGGCCACTTAGTAAGTGTGGGAGTTTGGGCAAATAATTTAATCTTTCTCCACCCCAGTTTCATCCTCTGTAAATCAAAGCTAATGAAATCATGTTTCACAGAGTTATTGGCAAGTGTTTTGCACCTAGTTGTCATTCAATATACAGCACTAATTTTTATCACTCTAGCTACTGATTTTACTCTATACTTTCAACCTGTGATGCTTTGTTAGTAAGAAAAACCTCTGGGTTTTGGGAAAATAAAGACCTATGTTCCAAACAGCTTTGTTATACCCGTGTCCAAAATATTTTCACCTCTGTCTCTGTCTCTGTCTCTGTCTCTCTCTAAGTCCATGCAAACTCATACAGAACTGACACAGGAATCCACTGCTTCGTTTCAAATTATACACACAGGTACAGAGATTGTCACAAAAACACACTCAGCCAAGCACAGAATCTACAGATCTGCATAGTCCCCATAAAGATGGATCCATCGCCCACAGCTGGAGATGGGTTTGCCAATCCCACTGAAAGGCTGGCAGTCCGCTGACAGACCACAAGCCACCCATAGTACCAGCCCCATGCAAAGCATCGCCACCGGCTCCAGACTGGGCAGGGGCCTTGTCCTTACTTCCTTTAGGTTGGTTTTATTTTAGTGTTATTATTGTTGTTCTTGGAGTTATCATCTGCCCCTCTTTCTCCCTACCCAGCCCCCTAGCCGGCCTCCTAAGCCTGCACTGCGCATGTGCTCTGCGTGCCTCCCCCTACTGGGCGTACCAGTCTGCGCTCCCGGGCGCTGGCGGCGGAAGAGATGGAGACGCGTCACGAGCGCCCGGCCCCTTGAAGCGCTGCTGGCTGGAGCCGCCTCCCTCCCTGCAGCCGGCGGCGGGGATGGAGTAGAGGGAGACCCGTCGACCTGCCCGCGGGGATTGGCGATGGAGTTAAAGCAATCTTTGTCCACACACCTGGAAGCTGAGAAGCCGCTGAGGCGCTATGGGGCGGTGGAGGAGACGGCGTGGAAAGCGGAGGGACTGGGGAGAAGTGAGTACTCGGGCGGGGGGCGGGGGACAGTCGGGGACCCGTGCGCGGCCGCCGGTGGTCGCGGGCTCGCGGGCAACGCACGGGGCGGACCCAGGGAAGCGCCCCCGCAGCGGGGCTTCCAGCGCCGGGGGATGCGCAGCGCTGCGCGGCGACGCTCTCTCCCCGCGAACAAAAGGGGGACCCTCCGGGCTCGGCTTCCCGGGGAGGCTCGGGAACGGCCAGGCTACTGAGCCAGGAGCCTGGGCTGGACTCCGGAGCCCCGGATCCGTCAGCTCGCAGCTGCTCCTGGAAAGTAGGGTTTTTCCCTCAGCCGAGGGAGGAGGATGCTTTCCCCGCCCGGGATGCGCTAGGTCGCTGGGGCCGCAGGTCCGTCCTGGAAAGCGCCCAGGTCTCTGGAGATGGGGGGAGTGTCCGCTGGGGTTCCTCTCGCTTTCCCTCAGCGCGAGGTTCGGGGCACACCTGAAATTCCCAGCTTTTCCTCCCCCGCCTTCTCCTGGGTCCGGGCGGGAGTCGTGGGGGAGGATTTGGGGAAGATGAACCGTGAGCACATCCTTCTCCTTTTTCCCTCGACTCAATCCAAGTCTTCGGTTTGGGTACGATCCTAGAAGGCGGTTCCGAACAGCCTGGCTGTATTTACTGGTTCTCTCTGTGGTGTTTTGGTGTTAACGACATTTCCAAACAAACGGAGGATTTTTGTTTTTAATTATTAAGACGAAATAGTTGAAAGTCCTGCCCTGGAAGTGTAGAGACAGCGTCAGGGGGCTTCAGGGTCACCAGCTGTCCCTGCAAACCCAGGGGGCTTCCCAGTGACCCTGCATCGCTTGCCTTAGCGTGTGCCTTCTGCTAGACTGGGAAAGGCCCTCTCGCCCTTCTCGGGGACCCTGCAGCTTTCTGCCTGGCTCTGGGCACTGTGCTTACTTAGCTCTCTTCCCCAGAACAGATCTCTAAGCTATGTTGGGCTGAAGTATTGTGAATGTGCTCTTTTCCTGTCTTCACCTGGTAGAAAATTGTGTGTGTGCACGCATGTGTGTGCTTTCTCTATACTTGTAATTATCAATTGAGAAAATCTTCCTAGAATGGCTCAAGTGTGTTCTGATTCTGATGGGTTCAAGTTGAAATTGCAACCAAATGTCTTAGTTCTTCACCCGCTATGATGGATACTATAGGGCTCCCAACCTTTTTCCTTCTTTTCTTTTTTCTTTCTCCTTTTTTTTTTTTTTTTACCTTGGTCCTACCTTCTCTGTCATCCTTTCCAAACCCTTTGGCATAACATCAGGGCTGAGAGTCTCCATTTCTTACAAGCTCAAAATAATATCAGCAATGGCTGCCTTTTATTGCTTGATTACCATATACTAAGGACTTTACATGCATCATCTCATTTAATCCCCAAAATCAACTCCTGAGGTGAGTATTACGACTGCCTTTGCACAGATGAAAAACCTGGGGCTTGTTAGATGATCTGATAAGTGGGAGAGCTGGGATTTGAACCCAGATTTGTTGGTCCCCAGAGCCCCTGCTTTTAATGAGAAGGTTTTTTGCTTTCTTGGTTTCAGGAACCTTCCTAAGTCTGTCTAAAGAGTCTCAGAACACGTTCAGTGATTTTATAAATATATGGCAGCCCTGTTGGTCTTTGGGGCTCGTAGTGTGGACCGATGCTGGGTCCATGCAAAGTAGAAGCTGTTCAAAGAAGCGCTGGTTTGAATCCTCGCTCAGTCCCTTGCTGGCTATGTGACTTTCAGAACATTTCTAACCCTTGTTCTGCCTCTGTTTTCTGAAAATGAAGATGATGGTGGTACCTACCATATGGCTTTATTGCGAATATTAAATAAGCAGTGTATGTAGAGCTCAGTACATATCAGTTGCTTCTACTATGTTGTTGCTGCATGTACAGAAGGGACCTGCTTTTATCCTCTGCAAGGAATTGCATAAAGCAACACCCTGGACTAAACAAACCTACAATGTCGGTCAGTTCCCTAATAACTCTCTTCCAGCTTTTTATTTTCTTGCCATTTTATTAGGAAAATTTCAAACCCATAGGGAATTGCAGTAAGGACCCAGTGTATGGCAGTCTAGCTCCTGAAATGTTTGTACTTGTGAGTTCTAGGGTGCACACTGTTAAAAGTCTGGCAGAAAGCCTTTCTCATCCTCTCTGTTCCAAACCATCCAAGACTCTGAGTCTTTTTTTTTTTTTTTTTTTTTAGACAGAGTCTTACTCTGTTGCCTGGGCTAGAGTGCCGTGGTGTCAGCCTAGCTCACAGCAACCTCAAATTCTTGGGCTCAAGCGATCCTCCTGCCTCAGCCTCCCCAGTAGCTGGGATTACAGACATGAGCCACCATGCCCGGCTAATTTTTTTTATATATTTTTAGCTGTCCAGCTAACTTCTTTATATTTTTAGTAGAGGCGGGGGTCTTGCTCTTACTGGTCTTGAACTCCTGACCTTGAGCGATCCTCCTGCCTTGGCCTCCCAGAGTGCAAGGATTACAGGCGTGAGCCACTGCCCTGGGCCAGACTCTGAGTCTTGCATCCTAGTCAAGTATAAGAGCATGGTTTCTATCTGCTTTTTTCCTTCCCTTTTTACCTATTCAAACTTGAAATCTTCTTAAAGCACTGATCCCGCTTTTGAATCTTACATCTGGCAAGTTTTGATCTCTAGACTCTTGTCTGCCACCAGGCATTTTTTGATCAAAGTGGAGGGAGGAGGAGAAAAAAAACAAAACAAAGCTTTCTCCGAACGCTCTCTCAACTCCCAGCGAATCTATGGATCCATTCCACAACGTCTGGGGCCTCCATTTATTTATTAATGAAGTGTGAAAATTAGTACTATTGTTTCTATGGTATAACATTCACTAAGGCAACGTTGGAATGCATGAAATGCTCCTTAAAAAGAAGGCATGCTCTCTTTAATTTCCACACGTATTTAAAGATTTTATGTTAAACACTGAGTATGTGTAAAGTCAAAAGAATTGAAAAGGGGAGAAAGATCACAGAACTGGTTGTTTTTAGTTAAGGTTATGTTAACTGCTATTTCTAGTTTTAGCTATATAGTTTTAGATAAAAGATGTGTAATGTGCTGTAGTAATAGTATTAAAGAATGGGAGTTTTGAAGTCAGGTGAAGTGAGTTCAAACCAGCTCTAAAAGCTTGTAGATTTGTCACCCTGGGAAAATTGCTGAACCTGTCTGTGTGTTGGTTGCCTCATCTGTGAAATGGGTTTAATAGTAGTAATGAACACTTGGGACTGTGGGAAGATTAAATGGGATCGTGCATATAACAAATTTAGCACAGTGCCTGGCACACTGTAAGCGCTCAATCAATACAGAATGGTTGTCGTCATAGGACAAAAGAGAATGGCACCCAACGGTATTTGAAGAGATTATTCCAAGCTTGTCAGTTTTACAGCTTTTTATTGCTTCTGTTTCTGTGTAAATTCTGGATAACGACTGTGTCTATACTGCCTTCCTCATGTAGAGAAAGGCTATTGCACCCTGGCAAACCATCTAGTATTTTTTTTTTTTTTGAGATAGAGTCTTGCTCTGTTGCCCAGGCTAGAGTGCCGTGGCGTCAGCCT